AGAGAGCACGAGAGGGAGGAGGGTCAGAGGGAGAAGCAGACTCCCCGCCGAGCAGGGAGCCCGACGCGGGACTCGATCCCGGGACTCCAGGACCACGACCTGAGCCGAAGGCAGTCGCCCAACCAACTGAGCCACCCAGGCGCCCTGTCATTTCTTTTAACCACAGGAACAAGGCTGTGGTAGTTTTGCCTAAATTGAAAGCCATATTAATATAACATCCTATACAAGCAAAATTCACGGTTTAAATTTTCAAAAATACACCTCTTACATCATCAAGCACTTAACTTTTACCAAACTTTGAAATACTAAGTAAAGCAAAAGAAATGAAAGTAGTTGTGATTCCATTCAGACCACAATGAAGAAAACACAAAAGATGGGTGGGCAGGGAAGGAGGGAGAACTGCAAATGAGATAAAATGCTGTCTTAACAACTGACAAGTGTTATTAATATAAAGCACAGACACAGGAAGATGTTTTAAATTCATCTTAAAAAAAGTAAGATTTGAGCTTTTTACACACTCAAATTGGTTTATTTAGGGAAAGATTAAATACAAACACCGCTTATTTAAAATCCCGATTATTTAAAAAAAATCACTCAGACAATAAAGTGGCAGTTTTTTAAATAAACAAGCTTAAATTCAACCAATAGTTTTCATGCCAGTTTTCGTGCCTTAAAAAGAAACAAAACCCTTTATTTGGAAAAACTTGGGGGCAGAAAAGCACTTATTAAATTCTTAATCCTCCTTCATTTGGCAGAAGGCAGTCGGGTCAGAGACGGCATCCTCCTACGAAGTACATGCTCTGGGACAACAAATCCCTCCGCTCAAAACCATTTAAAAACACCAGAAAAAAAGGTGTGCGGGCAAGCCCCATGTTTCTTCAGTCAGTCATCGTTATTTCTAAAATGCACAAGTCAGCAGTTGCGGGCAATTTTTGTGTGTGTGCTAATTCTCTAATTCCAGAAGGGTCAGCCACACCACTGGCTGGCCAGGCGTGCTGGGAGAATCCCCATTACTGGATCCAGAAAGAAGGGCCCCATGCTGACTCCAGCCCCCAAGCAAGACGCCCCGCTGCCCCAGCGGATCAACATCAAAGCGCAGAAAGAAACACCCGTCCCCCAAATTACGTAATTCAAAACTTCAGTCTGTTTTTCCTTCCCAAAGAGACGTAAAACTTGACATATTTATAAGCAGCTTTTAGGTTGGAAAAACAGAACACAAGAAATAATACGATGGGAAAACATTGAGCCTCCTCGAAATTTAGTGTATCCGTGAAGAATCCTTATAAACCATGGATCTTTACGCAGTTCATTAGCCGATATATTAATTCAGTACAAATTTACCTCTATAGGAGGCCGAGGGAGTGAAATATTCCATTAACAGTAATGTTTACTATCAATTAAAAAAAATAAGGCTCTAGATGAACAGAATCATATTTTTATTAAAAAAATACAAAATCAAAATGAAATACTTGGTTCATAATATGCCAGGAAAAAAAAAATTGCTGCTCAAGAATCCTTGCAAAATTCTGACTTGACTATAAATGTGTGGATTAAAAGAACGTGCTTCCCAAATACAGGAAGACTGGGAGGGAAAAGTAAAGTGTCAGATTTAATCGGTTGGCCAAGTTTTAGAACAAACTTAAAAACCAAAGTGATAACTGGCAAAACTTTCTCCCCATTTTTCCTGGTACTTGGCCACATTTCTCCTGGAAATCCCCGGGGTGCATTATGTTCAGAAAGCAAGAGCTCCAAGATTGAGACAATTCTTCGCTAACTCAAAAAGAGGAACTCAATTGTCAAGATGCTCGGGGGGGGGGGGGGAATAAATACATAAGTAAATCGAAGCAGAAAACAGGTCCCAACTCGAGTAGTCCCTGCCTTCAAAACTGCTGGTAAAACAAAAAACTCCTGGAGTGTATTCAGGTTGCTCCTCCCCAGCCTAAGGCCACAAGGCAGGGTAAGTTATTTTCTGGAACGCAGGCCAGTTTCCCAAAAGCCCTCCTTGGGAAGGGCTTGCAGAGGGGCGGAAGGGCGCGGACAGCAAAATTCTCACGGCTCTCGTGGGCATCCCCGCGTCCCGCTCTGGGGACCGAGTACATGCAGCCTCATTATCTTCCCCCATCCTCCCAAATGACCCCCGCGATCAGTTTCCGCGACGATTCTGCGGAGCAGACCTTGCCCACATCCCGGGGGGCCCTTGCCCGGGCAGGCCCCCAGCGTCGCGGGCTGGCGGGATGAGAAGCGGCGCCCTCCCCGCCACATGTCCCCCGCTCCCACTCGTAGACCCCGCGCCCTCACTCCGCTACCAATAATACACTGAGGTCCTTCCTCCGGGGCTTTTTTAAAAGGAGGAAACCAAGGGCGCAGGCTCAGGGCCACAGGTACGCTCGCCCGCGGGGGCTGCGGCGCAGCGGAGCAAGGGGGACAGGCGCGTCCCGGCGGAGCTCGGACCTGGGGCCGGCCGGCTGCCCCTGCCCGGAAGCTCAGTTTGGGTAGCAGGGGAGACCGAGGCGGGGCCTTCTCGGGACCGGACCCCCCGCCGCCCCACGCGCAGCCTGTGCCGAGGGGGGTGGTCTCGGGGTGACCAGGCATTTGGGATAAGCCATGAGAGGTGGAGGAGCCCCGAATCCGAACCCTGGCTACAGGACAGGCCGGAGTCCCCGCTCCTTTACTGTTGTTCTACTTTTGGTTACAGTTGGTTAGGTTGGGGTTTTTTTGTTTGCTTTTTTTGTTTGTTTGTTTTTTAAGATTTTATTTATTTATTTGACAGAGAGGGAGAGAGGGCGAGAGCAGGAACACAAGCAGGGGGAGTGGGAGAGGGAGAAGCAGGCCTCCCGCCGAGCAGGGAGCCCGATGCGGGGCTCGATCCCAGGACTCTGGGATCATGACCTGAGCCGAAGGCAGACGCTTAACGACTGAGCCACCCAGGCACCCGGTTAGGTTGGGTTTAGTTGTCGCAGCCCCGCCCGACCTCCCACCTGCCGGCGGGGACAAAGGGGATGGCAGCCGGGCCCGGCCGCGCAGGGGGCAGTCCTGGAGGCAGAGACCCCCGCGGCCCGCTCGCCCGCCGCGTCCTCCTGCGCCCCTCGCTGGCCAGCCTCCTGCCCCCGCTCGCGGGAAGGGAGGAGGGCGGGACGGAGCACCCGTTCGCAGGGAAGGAACCGCTCCTCTCCCGGCTCGCACACACACACACCCACCCCGGTGTGAGCAGCGCACGGGGCGGGAGGACACCGGGCTCCTACCCCAGCGCCAGCAGGAAATGCGTCCATGAACTCCAGCAAAACCACTTTCCTCCTTCAGGACCTGGCTTTTCTCGCAGGTCAGAGGAGGGCTCGGTCCCTCCCTTTCCCAATGTGCTGGGGTTCGGGGAGACGCCCACGGCCGCGAGCGCCCCGTGCCTGCCCGCCGGCCGGTACCCACCAGTAGCCGTCCGAGTTCTGGTCGGTGACCGTGCAGCGCCGGGAGTAGTACATCCTGCTGGTGGTGCCGCCGCCGCCGCCGCCGCCGCCGCCGCCGCCGCCGCCGCCGCAGGTCACCTCGTAGCGCAGGTCGGGACCGGACTCGGCGCGGGTCATGCGGCCCAGCGTGTTGAGCCGCGGGTGGGAGCCTCCGCTGCAGCTCATGTCGGCGGGCACTCAGAGAGCCGCTCAGCGCCGAGGCATAAGCGAGGGCGGGCCGGCTCGGAGAAGGCGGAGGGGTTCAAAGGAAAGGCCCCAAACCGGGAACCGGGGCGGGCGCGCAGATGGGTGGCGGGGACGCTCCAGGCCACCAGGAGGGCCGTCCCAGCCGCTGCGAGCGCGGCGCGGCGCGGCGGGCGGAGGTCTGGCGCGGGGACGACGACGGGCGGGGAGCAGGAGCGGCAGGAAGAGCTGTGGCTCGGAGAGCGGCGAGGGCGCAGAGGAGCTGGCTCGCGGCTGGGTGTTGGTGTTGGTCGGTGGGGGCGCGAGTCTCCTCCCCGCTGGCACCCGGCGCCCAGACCCCACCTGGCCGGTTTCTTCCC